ATAAGAGCCTCCAGGCTGCCCAGCTCTGAAACCGGCTCCTTCAGTCTCCCAGGTCCTGGAGATGATTCCCAAATGCTGATTTTCCAGCCAGGGATGATTTCCAAAGCAGAAGATCGTTTTGGTGCTGGAAAACCAGGAGAAAAGGCAGCTGCCCCTTGCAGCCCCGTCCCACCCTGAGGACTTTGCACCACCCTCTCAACTTGACGGACAAGTTTTCCAATTTTTTTTCTGTTTTCCCCCATTCTAACCTCTYATCTTCTCCAGATATTTTCCTGGGAGTTTGCTGGAAATCGCATCAGGGGYGCGGGGAGGTGGCCTTGGTGGAAAGGCTCCTTTTGTGCCTCGTACAATCGATGGCAAACCGGCTCCGGAGCCGCGGCACAAGAGGCGGCTCTTAGTGCCCATTAGGGAGCCGCTTCCGTCCATCCCTCCCTCCGGCTGCCTGGAGCAGGGCTGGGAATCGGGGCCCCGACGCCGCGCAYGGGTCTGAAACCGGTTCCCCCATCGCAGCTGCAAAAAAAGGGAGCGCTGTTTTTAAGTGCGTTGATTAAAAATAATTAAATAAATGGGAAAGCGCCCGTGAAAAACAGCGCAAGGTGGAGGGAGCGATGGGAGCAAGGGGCACGGAGCAAGCGGGAGGGAAGGAGCCGTTCTCGGCGCTCGGGGGCGGAAGGGCAGCGGTGGCCCCGTGGGGACGGCGGCGTCACCGGCGGCAGGATTTGAGCGCGGCCGCCGGATTCGCACCTGCGTCTTGTGCTCATTCGCACGGAGGTGAGAGATGTTCCCCGGATTGGGGCGGAAAGGCCAGAGATCACCGGGCTGAGGAGCACGTTCGTGTGAAACCGGCTCACCCACGCGCCCCGGGGCGGGCTGCGGGCCCCCAAAATGTTGTTCCTTGGGGGACAAAGTCATGAGGGTCCCGCACGTGCTCCATCCTGTGGGGCTTTCCTCGGCATCCTGGTGTCTCCTATTCGCTAGGGAGGAGAGGAGAGGAGAGGAGAGGAGAGGAGAGGAGAGGAGA